AAAATAACAAAAAGGTTTTGTGTTATAATTTATAAAGTTTACAAATAAAAACATTTCCTGAAACTTGGTTATTCTCATTGCTGATTTTATAACTTATATATAATTTTATAATTTCCTAATTAACATTTAGTTTTCTTTATAGGAATGAAATTGAGCGAATGAAGGAACCCATGTTCTTTAAAAGCAAAGTAAAGATATAAGGAATGTCTACACCATCTTGCAGGACAGGTTACACCTGGGGGCTCATCACAGCTGCAGGAGCAGCTGGCTCCACACCTGTGAAGTGCAGGTCAAGGGACCTGCTCAAGGACCCTGGCAGGTTCAGGACTAAGCCACGGTAGTGGAGACAGCTCTGCCTCCCACCTAGGTGCCCTACATGCACTTGAATTTTATCAGCTCAAGCTGACCAAGAATGCTCTGGGGGAGGAGGTTGAGCCTGGATTTGAGATAAGGTGCTTGTGGAAGTAACTGAATCGCTCAAGGTCACACAGAAGGACAACAGCTGCAGCAACAGCATTAAGCTGTCTTCTGAGTGACCTGGCCTCCCCTGTAGGCAGAAAGGAAGTCTCCAAAGAGCAGCTGGAACAGGGGCTGTAGAGAAGTCATCCTGGTGCTTAGCCACAGGAGTAACAGGAAGATGCAGTAAATAAGTCCTCGCCCTCACCCAGGCTTGCAGCATTCATTGCTCCTGATCATAACGTAAAGCCCTCGTTGGCCAGAATTTTCTATTTGTCCCTATCTTCTGCCTTCCAGAGTCATGTCACCAGGCTTGCTTTAATGATAGTGAAAATAACAGATGCTTCTCAGGTAATGTTGGAAGCCAAAGGGTGTGGTGGCACACAACTATAATCCCAACACTTGGGAGGCTGAGGCAAGAGGAACCCTACAAGTTCAGCAGGAGAGAGTCCTAGCAGTCCCTTAATAGTAGGGAGGGAGAGCGCAAGTGGGAGACAGTGGCCCAGGTCTTTGGGGAATAGTGCTGTTTCAGGCCAGAAATTTGTTAGCTATATGACATTGGACAAATCAATTTTTCTGAACTCAAAAATAATGTTAAGGGTCTGTCTGTAAGTAATGATTATAATATGTCTGTGTGGGTAAAGTGACCCCTCGTTTTTTCTACTGCACAATCACCTTCTCCCAGGGGCCGGCACCTAGTATCTTAAAAATTCTCAATAAATACGCAGTGAGTCAATGAGTGAACATCATGAAATGTTTAAAACAAAGTAAATGGGCTTACGAGATACCTCAGTGGTCTAAAGTGCCTGCTTGGGCGGGTGCAGGGGACCTGGCTCGATTCTGGCACTGCATGTCATGCCAGCCCTGCCCTCTGGGCAGGCTGTGCTGGCCAAATAAATAAATAAATAGATAAATAAATAAATAGTGCTTCATCTATTAGAGATCAATATGGTACCAGCTAAAGTAACTGAAGAGTTAGCTAGCTAGCTTTTAGGTATTATACCAGTTTTTGGCATCTAGCTAAAAAACTTTCCCAAGAATAATGACCAAGAGCAAAGAGATCTTCCTCTTTCAGGAGGAATTATATATAATTATATATAATTTTATAATTTCCTAATTAACATTTAGGAAATTCCTTTCAGGAGAGAATTTGCATAAGCTTTTATATCATATGGAACATCCTAGATTTTCCCACCTAATCAATGTATGTATGTATACATGTATGTATGTATGTATGTATGTATGTATTTGATACAGGGTCTCATCATACAGCTTGGACTTGTAGTGATCACCCTGTTTTCAACATCCCCAGTGCTGGGATTATAGGCTTGTACCACCACACTCAGTCTCAGTGGCCCATGCCCGGAGTGGGGCTTCCTAGCTAACCTTAATAGTTATTATTCCAGGCCTCAAAAGCATTGCTTTGTCTTGTCCTCACACCTGTGATTTAAGGCAGATATAGTCCTAAGCATATTACCACATATTAATGTTATGTCAATCTATTAACATTGCTAACCTTAACACTGAACACTGTTAATATTAAATGCCATATATAGCGCTGTTTTACAAATACAACTGAAATTCAGAGATCAGGGAACTGACCAATGTCATAGCCCACTCTACATAAGAGGAAAGTTCCAAGACTTGCCCAAGGTCCTCAGCCCAAAAATATGCAGAAGCTGAACACAGCTTTGACTCTGACTAGAAAGCCTTCCCCACTACTCCACATCTGAGCCCAGGTCACTCTACACCTTTAGTTCTGCACTGTAACAGAGAGCCTCTAAGTTATAAAGGGCCAGCAAGATAGCTCAGTGGAGTAAGCACCTGCTTAGGCAAGCGCAGGGACCAGGGTTTGATCCTGGGTACCAGTTGCCATGCTGGCCCTGCCCCCAGGCATGCTGAGCCAGTGACCAAGTCCAGGCATGGCAGCGCATCCCTGGGAGGCTTGAAAACAGGATTACTAGGAGTGCAAGCTACGTAGTGAGACCCTGCACAAAATTAAACAAAACAAAACAAAACCAGTAAAACAAATGCACTGAATAGCAAGATGACCAGACTTAGACTTAACTACTCTCTAGTCTACCAAAGAAAGTAGCAGAGAACTCATCTTTGGAACCATTTATGGCCAAGCTCAAAAAGGCACTAGAGACGATGAAAGGCTGTAAAAGCTACTACTCCATCCTAGCGCTCTTTCCCACCAGGCTAGTGTCACTTACCTGCATCAGAAAAGGCCCAAATCCACTCTCCACTTCACTTCCAAATGTGGCTCAGGATTTGAGCCCTCAACAGCATCAGCAAGACAGACTCTGACTCCAGGCAAGGAGAGCAGAGCGCCGCTCATCAGCCATCCCGGTGAGTCCCTGTGAACACCTCCCAGGAGCCTCTGCTACGCTCGCGCTCTTCAACCATGGTCACATCACTTGGAGACAGTCTGAGGGCTTTCTAGTCCGAAAAGGCCGCCAACAGAACTCATTCAGTAGCACTTACCGGGAAGTTCTCTGCACCTGCTTCTGCGCGAAGCCTTGGAGATGCATGCACAAGCTGGACAACGTGCTGAGGAGGTGAACCTGGGAGGAACTGATGGGAACCAGACAGCAACGGCACTTAGCACCTGAGGGTCGATTCCTTCCTGCTCAAGCTCCTTCCATCAGCCCCAGGAAGCCTCAGACCCACTGATGGGGAGGTCCTCCTACATACGTCCCGCCTCCTCCCTAGCAGGATTGCAACTGTAACTACATACCTCCTTGTGAATTTCCTTTTCGCAGGCGGGGACCTGTCCTGTGAAATGGAAGTTACCCGAGGATCTGGCTCATCTAGATTAAGGATTTGTTATATCATTTTCTCCACTATCATTTGTACCTGACTTTGGGTCTGTCTGATTTCCTCAAAAGGATGACAGCAGTTCACGTGCCTATCGACTGTGAGTTTTCAAACTCCAATGAAATACACATTTAGTTGTGTCCTTACAAACCATCATTTTACAAAATCATCTTACATTATTAACTGTCCCTGTGATTCTCTTAGGAACAAGCTCAAAAAATGTTCAAATGTCTACATTGTAGCTCCCCTTGTGAAATGGGAGTCAATAGCCTACGAGCCCTGATCGAGATCAACTAGCAGTTATGAAGGAAGGGCTCTTTCCTGTGGCTGAGAGTGACTACAGTGAAAGAGTGGCAGAGCCACTACCATCTTCTACAGGAACCGTCCTGCAAGGTCACCTGCATACGACTGTGCGCTCAGTCGCAGGTCACCACTGTGCTCATCACTGCGGCCAAGGCTTAAGTCTTCAAAGTGCCCTATGTGACCCCGGTTCCATCTTTCCACTGGGCTCAAGCTTGCTGAATGTGCCTGTAGTTTACATTGGCCAACAAGCTCCCACTGCTGCATGCTGCCATCCTCAGACTTTTGGAGGGTCTGTGGTTGCCTTGCTTTAGGCCGACACTGAGCTGAAGGTCCACATCATCCTGGGGCCCTGCAGACTCAGCACCATACCTCACTGTGACTGCAAATTCAGACGGGAGATATTTTTGCATTTACTCTGCAGACAAAATTGCTGTATTTGTTTAATAAGCGGTTTCCACAGTAAATTCAGTAAAAGGAAATAAAAGCCCTTTTGCACATATTCAGCCTATTCGTTTTGGCTCTTTTACATGATTCCCAACATGTCATTTACCTACATTAAGCAAAGCTCAGAGTACTTAGGAAAAATAAGGGGAGCAGCCTCCCCAAAGGTACCCAGGAATAAATGTACTCTCTAAGGCTCCCTTCTCTGGCTCTCCTGGGTGGCAGGAGCCGTAACTTCAAGCCTCGAGCCTCCCACCCAGGCACGATCGGCCTCATGGCTCTCCAGCTCCCAGCAAGGGCCAGCACTGAACCTGCGCGTCTAAATTCCTCACAGGAGCCTGCAGACAGCCCACACACTTGAACCTCATGGGACTGCGAAAGTAGGTACTGCAGACACTGGTCCAGGGAGTGCTGGTGGCCTCCCACTTGCCACTCTCAGATCCTCCATCTGTCCCTTTGTCAACTGCTCCCACCTGGATCCCTCAGGATTCAGCAGGGCCACAGTGCTGCTCGCCCAGTTTCAGCTGTGAGACACTGAAAGCACCTAGTATACAACACGGGGTATCGGAGGCCAGCACCCCCACTGTGGACTAGGTAACAGGTATGTGGCTTCCATCAATTTTCACATCTATTCCACAAATCAGCGAATCTTGGAAATTTATGTTCTTGACAGTTTTCATAAACACTGATAGCTCAGAAGAAATGGTGATTGCCACCCAATGGACACAAGGTTTTTTGTCCACTAAATAAATTCATCAAACGCCTACTGAGAAATGCAAAGATGCTATTTACTGATGTACTCAGAGAAATTATAGTAAGTTAAATGGCTTGATTTAGGATGAAAAATGTCAGAAAGCGATACAAATAGAAAGATATGTGCATTCAGTGACCTCTAATAAGATGGTTTATTGGAAACCCTCATAACATTTTTCAAAAGAGCTTGACAGATTTAATTTTAATAAGACATAGTAAAGAGGAAATGGTTTAAAAGATATCATCAATCTTTTATTTAACTAAGCACTGCCCTTCATTTTGAAGGAAATGATACAATTTCAAATTGGAACTTCCTTCTCAAGAAGTATTAGAACATAACTCTGATTTAACATACAACCTTCAAGAAAAATACAGTTTATACAACTCATTGGGAAATAAAATGCACTCTATCCTGCAAGTTAATTTTCCATGGGTCATGAGTATTATAGCTAACAACAAAATATAATGAAAAACTGAATAAACCAGTCAAGTTTATACTTATTCTGAATTTTTTTTTAAACTCACAAATGAAATCTAACTTTCCAAATTTATTCGATGACCATGGTCACACTAGACTGCACTCTATAAAAAAATGGTTAGACAAGCACACAATTATCAAGAGTCTTCAACACAGTGGACCCCATTTATGGAAAAAAAAAAAAATAGAAAACAAGTAGTCCTTAAATTTTCTTAGCTCTCCATAGCATATGTCATAAAAAATTAAAGTTTTGCTTCCAAAAAATATGTTTCCAAGTAGTCGTGGTGTTGTCCAACGGTGCTAGCAGGGTCCAAGCACCAAACACAGAAGGTTAACCACTGAATGGTCGTCTTTCAAAAAACTAAAACTTTTTTTAAAGTGTGGAATTAAGTACTCTGAGAGGCATTTAGTGTTAAAAGTCACTCTAAATTAAACGAAGAATAAAAGCTACAAAAAAGTATGAGTTCTTTCCGTACAAAAAATTGTGTAGCTGAAGTTGTGGACTCCTCTGAAATACATAAGCAGTTTCAATAAAATATTTGCTCAGTAAGAAAATAGAATTTGTCTGGTTTTCTTTAGCATATATTCCAGTCGCTATCCTGCTTACCCCTGGCCACAGCTTCTGAAGAATGTTGGAATCGATATTTCTTTCCTTCAAAGAGCATCTGTAATTCACAGTACAAAATTGTTCTAAAGTCTTATTCCTAAGGTGAGACAAAAATTATTAAATATACTTATTCTTATTTTTTTCCTAAAGTGCTAGATGTAACCATTGCCAGAGCATTTAAAAAAAAAATTATTTCTCCATGATGTTGCCATCTTTAGGAAAGAACCAAGAACTGTTGGATTCCCCTTTCCTGGAGCCCTTTCCAGTTCTTTGTTGAAGCGTCAGATACCCAAGAACTCGTCCTGTCCCTGTGTCTTGTGGAGCCCTCATCTCTTGGTACCTGGGACAAACACTGCCACTGTGTACCACACCGGGCACCTGGGACAGAGCTAGTTCATTTTTAAGCCCTGTTATCAAAAACCTTCTCTAGAGAGAAAACGCTACTGTTTGGGTGGATCTTATAGCTCTTCCTTGGAGTCCAGTCCCCCAAGCCACCTCATCTGTAATAACACAAAGTCACTCAGCATCCACAGTTGGGGGGCGCACAGGAAATATACAGGGATGCAGGAGCTAGAAAAAGAAAAAAAATGGAGCTTGCCAGCCGCAGTACCACTATCTTCTTTCTTACTTTGAAGAGAGCTCAACACCTTCCACCTTTCCTAACCTGTTTGGGTCCCACGTCCTAAAAGTCTCTACCCATGTTTATCTTGTCCTGCCTTTTCATGGGTAAGAGAATACAGTCATAGAGCGGGGAGGCTATGAAATACGGAAACGAGATCTACTTTCCCCAACAGGATATCAATTTTCATCCAAGTCCCAGACTAGGGCTGGAAAGTGGCTCATCCTTTTAATCAAAGGGACAGCACCTGTGTGACAGCACTACCTACATCAGGGCCGAAGCTGAACGCCTGCTCAGAAAGGGGCTCCATGCTGAGCGATGAGCTACAAAGATCTGAACTTGTAAAACTTAGGGCCACAACTTCCATGTCTTAAAGGAAATCTTTCAAGTTTTGTTGCTTTGCTTCAGAAATCTCCAACCAGGAAGCCCAAGGATGACAGTGGTTGTAGACTGCTCAAATACAATTCAATTTCAACCATAAAAATTAGGTCACAAAATGAATTGTCAGTGTAGTTTACAATAACTCCCCAAATGGACAAAGAAAAAAAAATATCCGAAACCAAAAACCTTTACCCAGGTTTTGAGAGCGCACTGGTAACAGGGGCAGCAGGGCCGCACTCTGCAATCAAAGGCACACCCACAGGAGCAGTCTAAAGACTCCAAACAAAGCTCTGGGCTGGCCACAACAAACAGCCCCAGGGATCTCCTCTGAAGGAGTGTCCCAAGCAGCAAGGAGACCACCCACTAGACCAAGACTTTACACCTTGAATTAAATGCAAGTGTGGCTAGCAAAATAAGGAGCTACCCACTGAAGCATGGCTCAAGCCCCAGATTTTACGGCCAGAAATGAGGGACAGGGAGATGGTCCAGAAAAGGGAGGAAAAAATTAAAAATTTAAAGGAATCTGCAACACAGCCTTGTTCATAAAAGGATTGGTTACTTTCCCGAATCACAATGGGAGAGCAAAGAGAGATGAATCCTGGGCTCAGTGGCACTACTTGGCTGTTTCCCTAGGGGGTGCATGGGGTGGCACTGGCCGACCCCATGTGCAGACTCGCTGATGAACACAGCCATGCAGTTTAATTAGATTGGAGACACAGGGCTTTCCCCTCCTTTGATAACAAATGACACAGCTCTAACCGCCTGCAAGAGCAGGCACAAAAACAAAGGAGGTGGCACTGGACCTTAATTGAATCCTTCCCCGGCTGGCCTTTGCCAGTGATTTACTTGAAACCTGGAAGGGGCAGAGGGAGCAGACTCCCCTAAGAGCCAGCTCCTGAAGAGGAATTACTAGGGACAGAGAGGAGGGAGGTAGTAATGTCTTTGTTTGTTGCCAGAGTTTGCTCAACTATTTGTTACACTTAATAAGGGGATGCTTGGTTTTGGTCTGCTGCTCCCAGACCTGGTCATGGTTTCACCAGCCCTGAGTCCCAGGAATCCTAACAAATAAATCACACCAGCCTTCCTGCTTCCAGGCCCAGCTCAGCAGGGGAAGAAGATAAAGAGCCCTCAGGCCCCAGGTGGGGCCTCCCCAACCCCCTCTGGCCTTCTTACAGGAATCCTCAGAGCTCAAGGGCAGAGCATAGCTAGAGAAGGCAATGGTAGACATTTAAACTTTCCCCAACCTTATTTGCACATGGCTCAATTTTGGATCCAGACCCCGCAGGAATTAAGTCCAGTATGTCCCACCGTGGAAAGGAAGACAAAAAGGGGACAGAAGGAAATGCCAGCTTCCAGCTCGGGTGCTCCTACCTGCTACCTGTCCCCCTCCACTCCCCAGTCCACAGCCAACTGCATATTTCACCACCTCTCCGTTTTCCAAAGGGCTCTGGAATCCCAGGTGGAGCCCAGAAAGTGAACGAGGAGAGAGGGAGAAGAGGCAGGGGAAAAGGCTGCCGCAAAGGGTCCTCCTTTTTAAAACTCTGCTCAGCTCAAAAACCTTCAATGAGCCGCCACATCGCCGTCCTCCTCCTCGGAGCCCGGCTCCGGAGGGCGCCGGGGAGGCGGCGTAGTCCGCGCTGCATCGTTGTCGCCCTCCTCTGGCTCGGCGGGGTGCAGGTGCATGGCGAGCTCCTGCAGCACAGCTGCACGTCCGATCTGGTCATTGCGCCGCTTCTCCATGATCAGATCCTCCAGGCTCTGGAACTCCAGCGTGTGGCTGCGCTGCGCCGAGAGCTGAATCTGCAAGCGGTAGGGCTGTTTGCCTATACGAAGCTCCCCTCCGATCTTGAACTCGCGCTTGCCATAGCGGCACCAGGCGGCAAAGCTCTCAGAGTTGCGCCAGCTGAGCTCGCGCTCCTTGGCGCCCACATGCGCCAGCGCATTGCGCACCACCGCGCTGGGGCTCAGCGGCTTGTAGCGATATAGATCGTTGACCACGCGGCCGCGGCGGCCCTGGCTCGCGTCGGTCAGGAAGCTGTTGCTCACCTCCAGCCGGTGCAGGTGCACCACCTGGAAATTGCCCACGTACACTGCCCAGTGCGGGTACTGTGCCTGCGACACGAACTCCACCAGGTCGCCGGGGTTGCACTTGTTGAGCAGGTTCTCGGGTGTGTAGGTGCTCAGGGCCGCCGACCCCGGCGCGAAGCTCTTCTGGTAGATGCACTCGTCCCGGTAGAACACGGAACACTCCACCTCGTGCAGCCGCGGGTCGTAGGGCTGCGGGGCAGGGGGCTGCGGACAATCGCCGCAGTCGGGCATCCCGCCACCCTCGGGCCCCTGGGGCGGAGGCTGGGACTCTACGTCCTCATCATCGTTGGAGAAGATGTAGGAGACCCCGATGCGGGGCCCGTCGTCCCGGTCCACGCCAGTCGGGTCGGCCGTGGGAACTTCTTTGTAACTTAGGTGGGTCAGTTTCTCCACCTGGTTGCCCATCACGCTGTGGACTCCGGCTCACGCGGCGGCGAGAGAAAGCGAAACTACCCCTAGGGTCATTGGCACAGGTCCCCGTACAGGGGCTGAGGCCACCTGTTGGAAGAGAAGGCAAGGAAGCCATGGATGCAAGATCTCTTCCAGGAAAGGGGCGTTTCGTCTTCCAGAGCAGAAAGATCCGGTGGGGGGCCGAGCACCTGGAGCCATTTTAGGGCGGCCTCGGGGATGGGGGGCTTCCCTCGCTTTCGCACTTCCCGGGTCGCGCAGGCGACTCGGCGCCTCCGGCTCGCCCCGCCCCCACTCCACCTGGCCCGCGCTCCAGCCCGTTGCATCAGCGGCTCCTGCCGCTTCCGCCCGCGCCCTACCGGCCACGCCGGGCCGGGAGGGGGGCAAACAGAAACTTTACTTCAACCCGCTCCCCGCACCCCTCCCACCCAGGCCTAACGCGTCGCAGACGTCCCTGGACGCCCGATCCCGGGAGAGCGCCGAGGGTCCCGCTTGGGCGGCAGGTGAGCCCCAAGCCGCACTCACCTGCGGCCGCCCCTCCCCCCGCGCGCCCGGGGCTCGGGTTACCTGCGCCGACTCGCGGCGGAGAGGTGCAGGCCGCGCGCGAGGGGGCCCCGCCGCACCCCGGGACGTCTAGGGCGAGTCTGCAGGTACGGGCTTCGCACTCGCTCCCCTCCTGGCGCGGGCGGCGGCCGGGCTGGGCGTGGAGCAGCGACGCATGTCTTCCCCGCGGCTCGAGCGCCCCGAGACTTGCAGATCGGGACGGGGGTGACGCTGCCTGCTCACCCAGCGCCGCTCGCCCGACTAGCGCTGCGCCCCGCTGTACACAGCTCTCGAAGAGGTGGGGCGCGCAGAGCGGGCGGCAACCTCGCTTCTCGGCGGCGGCGGCGGCTCCCGCTCGGGCCGGGCGAGCAACAAGCGCCGGAGCCGGAGGGACGGGATTGTAGATCCGGCTCCCGGCGCCCGAGCGGGAGCGCAGCCCCTGGCATTTAAAGAGACAGGCACTCGCTCCCGGAGCTCCGGTCCTCCCCGCTCGGCGCCGAGCCGTCGGGACCCCCGCCCCGCCCACGAGGCCACGGGGCTCCGCCCGGGCCACGCCCCCTGCCGGAGCGGATTTAAATCTCGCTGGTAAATGATCATCCCGCCGGTCGCGGCCGACTTGCCCCTGGGCCCGCCTACCTCCGCGTTTGCAGAGCTGGAGCTCAGAAGTTGGAGAGCAAAGGCCGCCCGTCAGTGTAGCCTGGAGAGTGGAGGGGTTTCCAGTGTGCCTTTTCCTTTTCTTTCCTTCTTGCTCAGAATAGTTGGAGAGGAAGTAGCAGTTATTAGAGGCTAATGCTTCTTCCTTTTATTTCTTGACCTGAAGTTCCTACCCGGACAGTAGGAGAAATGATTCAGCTTGAGATGATTGTAGAATGAGTAGCGTGAAACTTTAGGGTGGAAAAAAAATTAAGACGAAGGAAGCGGTTTAAGAGAGAACAAAGTCACTGGCTGGCTCCCAAGACCGTGTTGTTTATTAGTTGTCCCTTAAAGTCAGTACAAAGTTAATTTCATAATCTCTGTTGTCCCCAGGGGCCTGTTGACTTGTCTGGTAGTGAGAGAAAGCTTGCAGAAATAGCAGCTTTGCTTGGGGGTGGGGGACGCAGGAGTTACTTAATTGTCCTCAAATTAGAAACAAATTAGCAGAGGCCCCTGGTGGATGTATTTCCTTCCTGCTGATTTGTAGGGGAAAGTGACAGGAGTATTGCTTATTAACCTCCTCCACAAGAGTACATTTTACCCCCTGCTAGTTTCATTTTTCATCCCTAAAATGTAGACTATCAAGTTGCTTTTGTTGTTGTTATTTATATTTTTAAAATAATGGTTTGGGGTGGTGGCAGAGGACAACAGCACTGTCTACGATGGCTAAGTTTAGGAGGCATCCAAAGTAATTAGAGGTAGACTTTATTTATTTTTAATGTATTTGGTACATGGTCGCCCTAGGCAGCTGGGACTAGTAGTGATCCTCCTGTTTTTAGCCTCCCCAGAGCTGGGATTACAGGTTTATGCCACCACACCCAGCCTTGGTGGCTAGCTCAGCATGTGGTGCTAGGGATCGAACTCCAGTCCCTGTGCTTGCTTAAGCAGGTGCTTAGTCTGCTGAACCATCTGACCAGCCCTAGTAGCGCATTTTTAGAATACAGCTGGAGACCTTGCCCTGCACTCCGTCACTGTTTCTTTTTACTAAATTTTTTTTCCCCCAGGTAACTTGTTATTTATTCAGGGTATATGCCAATGTGCAAAAACAAGAATATACTAACACTACTGTGATCCTTTCGAGTTTGAGAGAAAAAAAAATCAATCTACTTTTGTATCTTTAAGCCAGGACAATCAATATTGTCAGGGCTGCGATGGAAGTTAGACCTTCAGCAAGTCTGAGATCACAGCGTAAGCAAGACAGGGATGGTGCTTCCATGTAACCTGCTGGCTCAATTTAAATATCTTTAGGTTGGCTAAGGGGATGTGTGACAAGGGCTTTGGGTAGCATAAGGGATACCGGGATACTGGTGTGCATATCGGCACATGTAGATACTTATTTTTATTTCCTTGGCCAAAGGCCTCAAAGTTGATTTATAGCCCAGGTTGATCTTGACTCAAATCTTCTTACCTCTAGGCCTGGCCAGATACCTGTTTTACAGAGAACATTTAGAGAAACAATGGTGTGTCATCCCGAGTGTCACCCTGAAAACCAGCTTCTACCAGGAGTGTAGGCCGCTTTGGCCCTACTTGGCTCTAGGTGCATTGGCTGGGGTTCGGAAAATCTGTAGAAGGACCCAGTGAGACATTTTGCTGCCAGGACTTAGGTCAAAACTCTAGTGGGTCATGAAACTACTCCTGGTTGTGTGGCTGTGTCTCCTGTTGTCTTCGTAAGATTTACTCAAGAGTACCATAATGTTGTCTTGAGCTGACTGACTGTTGAAGCCCAACTGTGTCATGCTAGCTGAATGCCTGGCACTTAATAGTCACTCAATAAAAGTTTGAGGGCTAGGGCAATGGGAAACCTTGCCTGTAGGTTAAGAATAATCCCTGGTTTCATAGGCACCAAGTGAAAGGCTAAAGAGGGTGCACCTGTCAAGCTGACCCTGGTCCTGTGCCTCCTGCCTCACCTACCCAGGTCCCTTGCCTGGGCCTGCACATCTTTCTGCTGACCTTTTATCACTGGGTGACATGTAATTCTGCATAGGCCTCTAAATGCATGGTATTTTCTAATTCACCTATCTGAAATATCTCTTCCAGCAAGAATTTGGTTCAAAATATATTTCCTGAAGGTGCCTAGGTGCCTGTGAGTTTTGGTCGCCATACATTTCACTCTGCAAGTGCAACCATGCACACTAGGCTTGTAGATGTCCAGGTCCCCGTAGTGCTCAGCATAGTCGGCAGGAGGTACAAAGAGCCAGGCAGGCTTTTTAGGACCCTTGGAAATGCCGTGTTTGCAGGGGAGACAGAGGAGGCTGGCATCTCCGAGGACTCCCAAGGCCTGTAAATGCAAAGGTGAAGGGTAATGTGTCTACTTTTGTGGATCTGGGACCAGTGAGGGCAACGCAGCATCCATATTGATAGCCACCATTGAGCCAGCTTCTGATTCTTTTCGATAGGAGAATAAAATTTGGAGAGGCTGTGGCTTCTCCCAGCTGGTAAGTGGGAAGATCACACGAGCCTGCTGTACCTCAGACCCATGCTGGTAACCACTCTGTTTTAAATAGAGGTGGGCATAGTCTGCAGTATTTAGCAAATATTTGAGTATGTGGTTTTATCAGGCTCGGGGAATAGTCACTGGATGCAGTAGACAGAGTGCCCGCTGCCCTGGAATTTATGTGTGGATGGGAGGGGGAGATGATCAATAAGAAAATGAATAAGGGAGAGCAGGACTGTGAAGCGGAGGCTGGTGGGGTGGACGGACTGGCACTGATGATGGAATGGAAGGCGGCCAGGCTTAGGGCCGGCTGCAGGGCAGTGGTACTGCCGGTGTGCAAGCTGGAGGGACCATCTCGCAGCCCCTCCACGAGGCAGGCCAGCTTCAAAGCTGGGAAGGAGTTGGGGCACTGAAGGAGAATTCTGATGCTCCCTACAGGATGGCAGTGAGTGAGGACAGTGCTGAGGCCGCAGGCAGAGGACAACCCTGGGTTGTCCCTCTGGACTTGTGGTGGTAAATGGGTGGAGGAGAAAGGAAGGAAGTAGGGGTCTCCCCAGGCCGGGCTGTGGGAATGAAAGGCAGATGGGGATTGGGGAGCAAAAGAGCAGCCTGCGAAGACGCCTCCATGGAGCTACTCTGTGTGGAAATGTTGGATGCAGATCCATGCCAGACTGTAGCCTCACTCTCCTCCCCTGAGTGACCCCACGTGCAGCCCTCATAGCCCAGAGAAGGAGGCATGCAACACAGCAGGGTGTGTGTGGACAGCTCCCTGCCCAGGCTGGTGGGAGGGGATTGAGAACTGCTGTTTCTGCTTGCCCAGGCCTAGCCCAGAGGGCACAGCTGTGCGGTGACATGGAAGTGCTAGCTCCAGGAATCCCCAGGACTGCAGCAAGCAGAGCCCTGGGTGATCTGATGGAGCAGTGTGCTCCACAGGCTGGACCCCAGGCCAGGGAAGATCGTAGACCTCCAGGGAGGCTTCTGGAGACAGGTTCCTCCTCACCTTCCTTCCTGGTCTTGGGAAAGTCCCAGCCTACTTCACCTGTTGTTCTTTGCGGTGCTTGTGTTGCAGCCTTGGGAGGTGAGGGCTCAGGACCCAAGTGGCCCTGGGGAGCAGCCCTACCACTGTGTTCGTCAGAGCATGACCATAGGGTTGCCTCTTGCCCTGCGGTCCTTGCCCTCTACAGCGGGATTGGCTGTAAAGGCTCTGTAGGTACCAGGCATTATGTATGTGCCATGTAAGAGCCACGTGATGATCGGACATGCAGAATGAAGGATAACGTTTTGGTGTTTGCCGTTCTGTGTATTGAACCCACAGCCTACACCCTGAACTGTATCTCTAGCACTTTTTTTAAGCAAGGTCTTGCTCAGTCTCAATTGCCTTGGCTGGGACCTCACAGTCATCCTGCCTCAGCCTTCCAGAGTCCTGGGATGACCAGCCCAGCTCCAGACAACCTTTTATTGGGGCAGCATCTTTTAATCTCCACACCAGTGTTGTTTTTTACATTTCTTAGGTAAGGACGCAGAGGCTAAGGAGGTCAGTGTAAGCCCCTGTCCATGGTCAGGGAAGAGTCTGGATTCCAACGTGAATCTTCGGTCTCCGCGTATGCTCTTTCTGCTGTGTCACAAAAGATCGCGTGCCCATCGAGAGGAAAGGCCCTGAGGTCTGGGCAAGCTGCAGCTGCTGGCCACAGTGCAGGGCCCTGTGCTGGTCCTTGTTGCCCTGCAGGCTGAGCCAGGGGACGCTACTGGGATGGAGAAGTAGGTGTTAGAGAAGATCTCAGACAGCAGGCAGTCCTGGCCTGTGGAGACAGCTTCCTTTAAAAGAGATCACAGATACTACAGCCTGCTTTGGTTCTCTCTCTCTCTCTCTCTCTCTCTCTCTCTCTCTCTCTCTCTCTCTCTCTCTGTCTCTCTCTCGTAGTTTTAAGATCAGATTTTCCCCAGTTAGTGCGGGCCATGCCTTTATCACCTGTGAGGGTGTTGGCCTGTCCCTAGCCACCTGTCCTGTCTGCCTAAAGAGCGATACACTTTGGCCAAATTATTACTTGTTGCAGGATGCATCGTTGATGAAATATGCGGACAGATGTGGTCGAATGATGTTTTCTCCCTTCGCGTCTATGCAGGGGGCTGGGGGAGGCGCTTGGGGAAGGGGTCTGGGCTGGAGCCCATCTTGCGCCATCAGCTCTCCACTCACCGATCCTGTAGCCAGCTCGTCTGAGAGAAGCTTTCCGTCTAGTGCTGGAGGAGGTGCCAGGTGCCCTTGTTCGCCCGGTGCCTCTGGCCCTGCTGGGGGCCTGCTGCTTCAGGAGCCCCTGCCATAGATGGCGGCTGCTGAGCCGAAGTTTGATTTGTGCTGAGGACTCTGAGCTGGGAGCT